CAGCCACCCACCGGGGCTCCCGTCCCCTCAGCGCCAAGCACCGCAAGGAGCAGCCATGTCACCCCCTCAGCCTGGGCACCGCCAAACCCCCCCCGCAACGTCGCCCGGCTCCCCAAGGCTGTGCCTGGCTCCTGGGGTGGGAGCGCCCTTTGCAGGTGTCAGGCCTCCGGCAGCGCTTTTTTGGGGACATTTCCCTTAACCCCGTGGCTTTAACCCGTTGTCCTGTGCCATCAACCCCAAGCCTGGCGCCGGAGGGCAGCTTTCCCTGGCACCCCTCAGCTCCGTGGGGCTGCTCCCTCACTCCTCTGCTCTGCAGCCCCCATGTAGGAGTGTCTGGCGGGTCCCCGGCTTCATCAGGGGGCTTCGGGGCTGTGCCGAGCTGGTGCAGGCTGTCCCCTCCCATCAAGGGACTGCTACACGCCAGTGGGTAAAAAAGAAAAAAAAAGTTTATTGTGCAATCTGCATCTTTTGTCCCAAACTACACCCACACCCTAGACAACATAAATAGAGGGACTGGACCAGCAGTGAGGTTCCCCTGTGATCGGCGGGGTTGGAAGATGCTGTTTCCTCAAGGAGGGTCTACGAGCCCTTGTTTCTGTCAATATGTACAATGCAGTGTAGGTCTAGGCAGCATACACATATACATACTCATATAGATTTCTGTTTGTGGGGTGGCATTGGCCATGCACCGCATAATCACATTATACACAGGCTGTGTCACACCTCAGCACCGACTGCCAGCTGCCCGCGGGCTCTGTGCGTCTCTGGCGTCCCCTTCACTCTTGAGCAGGGCCCTCCCAGGGGCCAAGCACTGCGGAGCCCCGGTGCTGCCATGGCACCCACCACACCAACAGGCAAGGAGGCAGAGTGGCGGGGCCCCCGGCCAAAGGGACTACAAAAAAAGCAGGACTGCAATGCGGCTTTGAGTGGTGGAAGACATTTCTTCAGCCCGACCACCCTGCGTGGCCCAGGAGGAGCTGCGAGCAGAGGTGCCCCATCCACGAGCCCCTAGCCTCCTCCAGCCCAAATCTGGTCTTTGGAGCTTCTCCTCTCAAAACCACCTTTGTGGCAAGGATGCATATAAAAGCTCTAAGAAAAAGTGCCATCTCACAGCTGCTTCCTTGCACCAACCCAGGGGTCCACAGCGTGGCGAACCTCTCCTGTAATTGATTGGGAAACAATCATAGAGCCGTATCAGAGGACCATGTAGCTTCTGGTATCCCAGTCTTGCTAAGACATCACCGCTGCAGGAAATAAAGGAGAGCGGTGGTGCCGGCCCACGTGGAGTAGGCTGCCTGCCTGGGCAAGTCAGTCCAGACTGTGGTGGCTGGGACGAGACCAGGACACAAGTGGGAGCCGGAGGGAGGGTCTCACGGGGAGTTGAGCTCCCTGCCAGAGTACCCTGGCCAGCAGCCATGTGGCCCCAGGCGTCCAGCCCTGTTCCCTGCCAGAGCCCACACCATGAGCCGGTCTCCTGTGGTGGGGGCTCCACTGCAAAAAGAGATGGCACTGGGAGGACTAACGCCAAGGGCTTGGCACCTGAAGAAGGCCTTGGGGACATCTGCCATCCCAGCTCCCTGGCACTGGGCACTAGGGCTGGGTGAACTTGCTGACACACCAGGATGGGGTATCAGTGTAAGCTGGGACATACTCCTGGCTGCAGCAGCCAGCCCAGATGTGGGGAACCATGGGGGACACGTGGGAGACACTCGCCCCAGCACAGCTGACAGGGTCGGGGGCAGGCTGGTGTTTCTGCACCCATGAACAAGGACACGGGCTGCTGAGCGGGCCCACTCTCGGTTCCCAGCTCAGCATGGGCTCTGGCTGCAGACAGGCTGGTGGCACCATGGCAGGACGCGAGCTTTGCACTGACATGGGCGAACAGACCAGGGACGGGGCTGCAGAAGCCATGGCAGGACAGGCTGTGTCCCTCCTGGGAATCTGGGCAGAAGTGTGGTGTCACGGCTCCCCACACTCCACGCTGTGGCAGCAATGGCTCCTGACACTCGCCCCTTTCCAAAATAATGACCCCAAAAATGGCAAGTGGCAGTGAGAGACATGTTTGGGAGAGCCAGCCCCCACAGTGCCCCTGTCACGGCTCCCCTGCTGCTACTCGAAGGACAGTAGGTCGGGATGGGGGCCCTCCACCTCCCAGCCGGGGGTGCATGCCTCTGGCCGCCCTGTGCTTCCCAGTGGCTCGTGCTCCAGCCCCTGTCTCCGGGAGGGCTTCTCTGTGCGGGGTGAGGTCTCAGTGGCCCTCTCGCCTGCTCGCCATTGGCTCTCCAGGCTGCCCTTATGGATAAGGTCAGGCACAGGGAAGGCACTGGTGGGCTGGTCCCCACTGGGCTCTGGAGTGCCTGTCATGCTGGGGACCCCAGGACATTCTGGAGGGGACAGGTCCCTCATCCCCAGCTGCTTCTCTGCAGCGTCAGGGTGGTCTGTGGGTGGTTCAGGGGGCTCCTCCATGCTGCTCCTTAGGCTGGTCCCCACTGGCTGTGGCGCGATGAGCATGTCCTGCGGGGTCTTCAGGGCACGTGGCGTCCGCTTCTTGGCAACTGGGGGTGGGGGGTCCAGCCGGGGAAAGGCATCCAGCCCCGCAGCCCTGCAAGCACAGAAGTCACACAGAGCCCC